TGTGGTGGTTGAGTATGCGTATGACTCTATGCACACTCGCCGACCTCGCATTCCATTGCTGTTTTTCCCAATGAGCTGCTTCACTGCACAACTTCGTACCTCTTACCCCATACCTCATTGCCCTTTGATCTCAGAAATGCCTAATCCCTGCCCTTCCTGCGTCTTCCCGTCTCCCGGATCCCCCTCCCCCCTTCCCCTCGTTTACCCTCTACCCACCTTCCCCTCTTCCCACCTTTAATCCCCCCCCATCACCCCCCCTATCCCACCTCCCTTCTTTCCCCATCCCTCTTTCTCGTTCCCCCTTTCCCGCCTCCCCTTTGTTTCCCTCTTCCCATCACCCCAGGTTGAACGTGGCAGTAACGCGAGCGCGCTACTGCATGTGGGTGGTGGGCGACCGGGACACTCTGCAGCGCGGGGACACCACGTGGGAGCACCTGCTGGTGGACGCACAGCAGCGGGGCTGCCTGGTGGAGGCGCAGAGCGATGCAAAGCTGCGCAGAGTGGTGGAGAGGCGTCAGATGGAGCTGGGCGAGGTGGAGCAGCTGCTGCTTCCCAACTCGGGCCTCTGGGACTCGCTCATCTGGGAGGTGAGATGCGTGGTTGGGGGGGGGAAGAGTGAGGTGAGATGTGGTTTGAGAGGGGCCGTACCAACATGGGTTTGTGTGCTTCGGAGGAAGAGATTATAGATACGTGGGGATGTATGGGTGGGATGAGGTGAGGGAGCACAGCAGCATGAATGGTGGTTTCTAACTTTTAACCAAACCTTGATACTGTAAACCGTTGCTGTGTCCCTTCCCCACCACCACACAGGCGACGTTCAGCCTGGAGTTTCAGCGCAGCATGCGGGAGCTGCGGTCTCTGGACGTGATCAATGCAGTGAGGCGCCTCATGGGCGGCCACAGGCCGCAGCGCTGCACCAAGCCACGGCACGAGCTCAAGGACCCACGTTACTACGACATCATTCACGTGCAGGCCGTTGGGAGATACCAGCTCATCTGGACCGTCGATGTCTCTCGCACCACCTTCAAACAGGTCTCTCGCTCAATCCCTCTTCTTGATCCTCGTCACTCTCTCGAAATCGCTTCCCCTCTCTTGCACTTCTCCACGCACGAACTCACCTGCTCCTACTACCTATCCTCTCATTACAAACAGTCGCATGAGTTGGGTCTTTTTGCCTTGCTCTCATCTCTCTCGCGTTCTTCTGCCCCCCTCACAACCGTACCACGGAGCAGATCATCCGAGTGTGGGATGTGGTGGAGGAGAAGCACGTGCTCAAGTGGCTGCGTCGCCTGGAGGGAGGCCTGGAGACCTACTCCGATGAGTCGCTGGACCGCTGTGCCTGCTGTGACGACCGCCTCGCTCGCAAGGTGCAGCCGCTGCAGTTTCCAAAAGATCCAGGGTTCACGTGGCACAGGGCCAAGGCATCGTCGCGCGATGTAGCATCTGCTTCCAACGCAGAAGAAGGTATGATTGGTTCGTTCAGGTGGCTAATAACGTCCAGTGAGCAAAGGTGCTGGTTACAGCAGGAGGTTTACTCTCTGTCCGTCGCACTGGTTTCTTCCTCTCGATTCTTCCTGAGAATTGGTTCGTTCCTCCTGCTGCCCTCTTCCCCTTTCCCCGTGTCCACTTACTCGCTTTCGTTGGTTTTTGTTCTCCCTCCCTCCTTCCCTCCCACTCGCTTCCCTTCCCACCCTCTATCTCGCCAACCAGAGAGCGCCCTGGAGCGGGCGCCAGTGGACGAGAGCGTGCTACTAATGAAGTTCTACCAGCTGTCTCTGGGGTCCGCGCGGCAGCTGCTGACAGCAGCGCAGGGCGAGCTGCCATTCGAGGTGAACGAGCAAGAGGCGCTCATCGTGCACTACCCGGGGAGCCTCTTTGTGCTCGGTCGGTCTGGCACCGGCAAGACTACTATCATTACCCACCGGTTGTTGCGCCTGGAGCGGGTGTTTCTGCGAGCCATGGGGGAGCAGGGCCGGCTGGGTCCTGCTGTGGGGATTGGGAGGGGGAGTGGCAGGGGAGGAGAGGTGGAGGGTGCGCGTGGGGGGGGTGGGAAAGGAAGGGCGGAGGGGTTGGGTGATGGGAAGGGGGGTGGAGAGGAGGGGGGAGAGGGTGGGGAGGGGGGGGGTGTGGGGACGCTGAGGCAGGTGATTGTGACTCTGAGCCCAAGGCTGTGTGCTGCGATTCGGCACCACGTGCACAAAGTCAGACGGTGAGTGGCCCTGAAGGGCTGTGCTGCTATCTCCACACTCCGTAGTCGCCTCTTCCCTTCTTTCCCATTTCCCCCGACCCCACCCCTCTGTTTTCTATTTCGTTTTCCCCCACCCCCCCATCGGCTCCTCATCCAACTTCCTGTTTTGATCTTGGTTTCTCCATCCCTCACTCGCCTCCCTCTTATGACCTCGCTCACAGTTTCACTCACACTCGCTCACTCTCAACCACTTGTGCATCCCTCCCTCCGTGTGTCTTGTCTCTACCAGAACCATGCTGGAAGCTGACTCCGTCATCCCTACCAGCACCGCACCTCCCACCACAGACCAGGGGGAACCGCAGCAGCAGGAGCAACAGCAGCAGCGGGAGGCAGGAGAGGTGGAGGAGCTGTTACTCTCAGAAGAAGCAGAGGAGAAGCTAATGGGAGATTTGCCCGAGTCTCTAGACGAGGTGCAGCCTGATGCATATCCCCTGGTGCTGACCTTCAATAAGCTGCTGAGCATGGTCAATGCCACGCTGGCACAGCCGTTTCAGCAGGATGGGCTGAAGGCTGGTGGGTGGCACGGGAAGGGGACGACGGGTGGTGGGTGGAAGAGTGGGGAGTATGAAGCTCAGGGGGGTGCTGGGGGAAAGGGTGGCGATGGCAGTGACGATGATGGGAGCGAGTATTTCTCAGTAAGTGATGACGATGAAGATGAGGAGGAAGAGGAGGAGGACGACGAGGAAGAGGAGTGGGGCCCAGGGTACCATCAGTCGCACCGGCACAGGGACAGGGCACAAGGCAGGAGCGGAGCAAGCAGCAGCAATAATGGTTACAACATCACTGGCACTAGCAGCGGCAGTGGACCTGGTGTGCTGTCTCTGCCTGAAGAGGTTGATTACGACCGTTTTGAGTCCCTCTACTGGCCACACTTCAACATATCCATTACTCGCAAGCTAGATGCCTCTCTGGTCTACAAGGAATTCTTCTCCCACATCAAGGGCTCCCTGCACGCCCTCAGATCCCCCCGGGGGCGCCTGTCTCAAGAAGCTTACATAGCCCTCGCGCACTCCCGCACTTCAAGCTTCGACGAGGCGCAGAGGGAGGTGATATATGGGCTATACTTGCAGTATGAGAGGATGAAGAGGCAGAGGGGGGACCATGACTTGTGTGATTACGTGTATCATGTGTATAAGGAGCTGGCAAGAGGGGCAACTAGGATCTGCACGCCTGCTGCTCTTGCTGCTGCAGCAGCTGCTGCTGGCTCTGCTGCTACCAGGTCAATTGTCTCTCGTGGTGGTGGCGATGACAAGATTCGATCTGGCCCGCCGTTCCAGTACGTGTATGTGGACGAGGTGCAGGATCTGACCCAGGCGCAGATTGCCATTCTGCGCTTCCTCTGCGCGAATACCTCGGATGGCTTTGTTTTTGCGGGGGATACGGCGCAGACGATTGCGAGGGGTGTGGACTTCCGGTTTCAGGACATCCGGAGGTTGTACTATGAGCTGTTTCTGGGGAAGAAGGTGGATGGGGCGGGGGATGCAGGGAGGGAGTGGGTGGAGGGCGGAGTTGAGTCGGTTGGAGGTGGTGGTGGTGGCAGTGGTGGTACTGGTGCTGGTGGTGTGGGGGAGGGGGAGACTGGTACAGAGGAAGGGCGGGTACGGGAGAAGCAAGGGAGGTGGGCAGGGGCAGCAGCAGCGCGAGGCAAGCAGAAGCTATCTGGCAAGGGGAGGAGAATGCTCGAAGAGGTGGGCGGTGGAGCAGCAGCAGAGACAGCACAGAGCCGCTCAAACAGGGACAGAGCGGAGGAGAGCAGTGTGGAGATGGGAGCAAAGGCAGGCGGGGCAGCACAGGAGCGATCCTCCTGCACAGAAATGCCAGATCTATTCTTCCTCTCGCAGAACTTCCGAGCACACAACGGCATAGTGCGTCTGGCAGACAGTGTGGTGCGTGTGCTGCTGCACTTCTTCCCCCACGCTGTCGACCGCCTTGCACCGGAGTTCAGTCTCATTGATGGGGAGGCGCCGGTGTTCCTGGATGCTAAAGAGGGAGACGATGTGGTGACGCAGCTGTTTGGGAAGAAGGGGGCCATTGGCGGCGGAGGGTGCGAGTTTGGAGCAGAGCAGGTAAGGAGGGCGCCATGTGAAGAAGGGGGGGATGCAGAGAGAATGGTGGGTGTTGGGAAAGGGAGGAGAGGAGGCAGAGAAAGGATGAATGCGTGGCCGACCCGGGAGAGCATCCTTTTCTCCTCTTGTGTGTTTCTCCTGCTCCATGTTTATATCAAGTCATCTGATGATTCCCCCCCTGCTGTTTCCCTCCTTCCATGAACCCCCCACTTGGCATGCATCAGGTCATATTGGTGCGAGATGCAGAGAGCCGTACAGAGCTGGTGAAGCAGATCGGGTCAAAGGGACTGGTGCTTAGTGTCCACGAGTGCAAGGGGCTGGAGTTCCAGGTAAATCATTTCAGGCATTTCAAGCTAGGTGCTCCTTAGTGCACCGCGTGGTAGTCTTGCAAGGTCTGTAAGGAATTTTCTTACAACGTAGCTCGCTCTGGACTGCCATCCTCTCCCCCTCACCTTCCACACATATCTGTTCTTATCCCTCATTCTATTACTCCCTCTCCCTCTCCCACTCCCACCCACCCCCTCGCTCGTTTATCCCCCATTCTATGCCTTTCCCCTTAATCAACGTAACGCACTCAATGCACAAACCATCACTCCCTCTACCTTCCACAATCCTCTCTATTTATCCATGACCTCATCTCTCTTCCACCCAATTCATCTCCCCCCTATCCCCTCTGCTCTCCCCAGGACGCCCTGGTGTACAATTTCTTCTCGGGATCACCAATGGCGTCGAGCTGGCGGCTGCTGTACCACTACATGCGCGAGCACTCCCTCATCCCCTCCACTGAGGATGGCTCCAGCCGCTGGCAGTGCCCCTCCTTCGACCCCAAACGGTGCGTGCCTTGCTGCTTCAATATTGCTAACAGTGCCCTGTTTGACTGCAAAACTATTTGTGGCTCACCTGTTCTTCTCCACTCTTTGCCACTCTTCCACTTTTCCACAAATGTCTCTGCTCCACTGTCATCTCTCGTTGCCTTCTTCCCCTTCCTCTCCCTAGTGCAGCCTCCTTCGCAGCAAGCTGAAGCAGCTGTGTATGGTGTAAACACGAGTCTTTATCCACCTCACTCACCTCGCAGCGTCTCTCCACTCCCCTTCCCTTCCTCACCCAGGCACAACCTCCTGTGCAGCGAGCTGAAGCAGCTGTACGTAGTGCTAACGCGCGCGCGGCAGCGGCTGTGGATATACGAGGAGGATGAGGGGGTGAGGCGGCCGGCCATGGACCTGTGGGGGGCGATGGGCGTGGTGGCCGTGAAAGCACTCACGCCTGACCTCCTCACTTCCATGCATACGGAATCGTCTCCTGAGGGGTGGCACAAGAGGGGCACTGAGGTGGGTTTTGAGTCCAGCTGACTTAGAAGCATATGCTGGATACTGGGCAGGGAAGATTCTGAGAGGAATTAGTTATTATTTCTTCCTTCCCGCTCATCTCCCTTCCCTCCAAACCCCCGACACCCCCCAACCCCCCTACCCCCGCCTTCCTCCGTCTTCTCCCGGACTTTATCGCTCCGCCTTTCACTTTAACCTTTCCCCTCTCTCCTCTCTCCTCTGCCTTACACCCTCTCCCATATCGCCTCCTCACTCACCCCTCCCTCCTCTCCCCTCTACCCTCCCCTCTCTCCCATCTCCCCTCTCCATTCTTCCCACGGTCCCTGCCTCCACTCTGGCGCCCTGCTCTACTCCCCCAGCTGTTCAACGCAGCCCAGTTCGAAGCAGCAGTGCTCAGTTTCGAGCGAGCAGGCGACGAGCATAGTGCAGCAGTGGCACGGGCAGCGCTGCTACAGCAGACAGCCAAGAGGCTACAGGGCACTGACCCAAAGAAAGCAAGCAAGACGTTTCAGGACGCCGCCAACGCGTTCCTGAAGGTGGAAAAGCCGAGGGATGCCGCCCGGTGCTTGATCAGTGCCGGCAAGATGAAGCAAGCAGGTGAGGAATGGTGGAGTGGGGTGGGTGAGGTGGGGGGAAGGGACGTGAAGGAAGAGGGCAGGGGTGATTGAGAGGAGGGCAATGGTGCTCTTGCTCTGAGCTCACAATTTTGAAAGGAGGGTTGAAGAGGAGATGGGGTGATGCTTTACTTGCTGTGGAGTGGTTGTGTAGGTATGCATTCTGAGCTCCCCTTTCTCTTTCCCCCTCCTCCCCTCTTCGTTGCCTTTTCAAATTTTCCCGCACCTCCTTCTGCTTCCATTAACTTTTGCTCTGGAGTTTAGAACAACTACAAGTCAATCACACTCTCGGGGTATCTCCCTTTGATTAATCTCCCTGCTTCCATTAACTATTGCAGAGGAAGGTGACTGACTTGTACTGGTTCTAAACACGTTCTTTGATTTATCTCCCTGTGTCCTCTCTTTCATGACGCCAACCAGGTGACGTGTATCGTGACAGGTGTGTGCCGGCCATGTGGGTGAAAGCAGGGGAGTGCTACGAGCTTGCAGCAAAGGCAGAGGAAGCGGCGCAGTGCTTTGCACAGGTGTGGGAGGTAGAGAGGGCGCTGCTTGTGTGCGCACAGAATCGCTTATACACTCTCGGGGTGTCCCTGCTGCAAGTGTGGCAGGGGCAGGTGGAAGAGGGAATGAGATCGGTGAAAGTAAAGCAGAACCAGCAGGGGCAGCAGCTGCAGCAGCAGAAGCAGGAGGAAGCGGAGGAGGAGAATTGGAAGCAGCGAGAGAGGCTCGTTGTGCGGAAGAACGCAGAGTTTCTGCAGCAGGCTGCGATGTATTACTATCGCAAGAAGAACAAGGGTGAGATGCTGAGGTTTGTGCATCAATTCCCGTCACTGGCAAAGAAACGGCAGTTCTTAGAGAGGCGAGACTTTTTCGATGATCTGCTCCAGATTGAGGTAGCTGAGGGGAATTTCCAGCGGGCAGCTGAGATGATGCTCAAGAAGGGCGACATGGTTGGGGCAGCGAGAATGTTTCTCGGGCAGAAGAAATGGGGGCGGGCGTTTGAGTGTGCGATGGGTGCAGCTCGTGTCGCAAGCATGTGGGCGAGCGGGAACAAGGGATGGCCGTTGAATGTTCGGGAGCGGAAGCAGGAGAAGCAGGAGAAGCAAGAGCGTAAGGTGGAGACCAAGAAAGACGAGTCGAAGGCGGGAAAGGGGAAGGAGGATGAGGGAAAGAAGGCGGAGGTGAAAGCAGGAAAGGGAGAGGTTGTTCCAAATGCATGGGAGACCAGGGCAGAGGTGGATGAGAGGGAAACGAAATTTAAAGGCAAGGTAAACGCTCCAGAGGGAGAGGGGAAGCAGGAGGAGGTTGAGAAGCAACAAGAGGGGGTAGAAAAGAAGGCGGATGGGAGTGTAGATTCGAGTATGGATGCATTGGAAACAGCTGTTGCTGTGTGGGTGCGGGAGAGGAAAGCGAGAGAGCAGAGGAAGGGGGTGAAAGGTCTAGGAGAGGAGAGTGCAGTCGAGTCAGGTGTTCAAGGACTGGGTGGGGTATTAGGGAGGGAAGGTGGGGAGGTGGATGAGAGGGAGGGCTTGGAGGCTGTCACGCTGCTGTGGCTGCGGGATTTCCACGCTCAGGGCGGTGCAAAAGGGCGTGGGAGAGAGGTGGATGCGGGTGGGAGAGAGATGAATAAATGGTGGCAGCTGCTTGTTCGTTGCCGAGCAGACGAGCTCCTTGGTATGGTGGGTTCGTTGGGGAAAAACTCTCAGGAAGGTGAGTCTGCAGTACTGACGGATAAAGAAGCAGGGGAAGGGGAGGTGGTAGCAGAGGAAGGAAAGGAGGAGGGGGAGGAGGAGGAAGAGGAGTTGGAGCTGGGTGCAAGGAGCCTTGCTGCTGAAGTGCTGGTGAGCTGGCAGGGCCTTCAGATGAGCATCCAACGGGCTAAAGCTTTGCTCTCTCAGCCTTTGAACTCCTCACTTTCTCGCTCTGGTGCTGCGCCCTCTGCCCCAATGCTCCCTTCTCCTGTCAAGCCTGGTGCCAACCAGCCCTCTCGAGCATCACCTGCAGCAGCACCACCAGCTGTGCCTCTCCGACCTGCATGGCAGGTGGTAACCCAGGGAGCTTCGCAGCAGTTGCAGCAGCAGGGGCAAGTGCAGAAAGAGAAGCAGCAGGAGGAGTTGCTATTTGAGGCGGAATGGAGGGAGGTGAAGGTGTGGTGGGGGCGGTGGAGTGAGAGAGTTGCAGCCATGGTAGCTGCACTGCAGCGACTGCAGAGGCGCAGAGAGCTACCCTCAGATGCGCCCTGGCTAGAAGCCACCTTCCACCTCCTCTCTGTCTCCTCCCCCTCCTCCTCCTCTTCCCACTCCGCCTCCCACGCTTTCACCTCCTCCTCTTCTCAATCCCTTCTTGTCGGCCTGTCGTCTGCTCATTGGCTGAACCCTGTGCGAGCGGCAGTGAACCACCTGCCGAACCAGGGCACGCGGGGGGAGGTAGCAAGGGAGGCTGCAGCCAGGGCAGGTGCTATCTACTGGGCGAGGCAGGCGAGTGAGATGGTCAAGGAATGCGCGGGTGTGATGCAGCAGGCTTTAAGATCTCTGGAGAAAGGTGTGGTCAGTAGGAGGGAGCAAGTGTGGGGGTCTGGTGCAGGTGCGGTGTGGGACCGAGGGCGGCAGGTGATTGGGAGTGGGGAGGCGGGTGATAAGAAGAGAGCGAGAGAGCTGCACTTGCAGCTTGAGCTTTGGGTGGAAGTTCACGCGCTGCTTCAGTTCGCAATAGACCTGTGTGGGGGGGGCAGGCAAGAGCAGAAACAGCAGCAGGGAGGGGAGCAGAGCATCGAGGTGCAAGGGGCAGGCGGGGTGGCTGAGGAGGGGGGGATAGCGCAGTTGGCAGGAGATGTTGAGCTGTGGAAGGAACAACAAGAGAGAGCGATCTTGCGGTTGCTCTCATTGCTCTTCCCTGTCACCAGCCCTCTTCCTCGCTCCGTTGCATTTGTGGTGGCGAGGTGGAGGGAGGACGAGCGAGCGCGGACGTTGATGCGCAAGTGGGCTTGCTCATGTGTTCAGACATGCGTGGTTGAAGGGCGGAAGCAGAAGCAGCGGCAGGAGGAAGAGGAGCAACGGCAGAGGGAGGAGGAGCAATGGCAAAGGGAAGAGGAGCAACGGCAGAGGGAGGAGGAGCGACGGCTGCAGCAGGAGGAACAGCAGCAGGAGGGGGAGGAGGAGGAGCAGAATCAGGAGCAGCAGGAGCAGGAGGAGGAGGAGCAACTGCAGCAGCAGCAGGAGCAGCAGCAGCAGCAGCAGCAGCAGCAGCAGCAGCAGCAGGAACTCATGGACCCACTGGTACCACCAGGACTGTTCGCCCAGCTGATGCAAGTGCTGCCGTATCTGGGGCCCTGGTGGATGCGCAGAGAGTGCCAAGATCTCATTGCGCTCATGCCGCCTTCCAGAGTGGATGTGTGCGCTCGCATGCTGCTGGGTGCACAGTGGGAGTTTGCAGCGCAGACTCTTACTCTCCATCTCCCCACGCACTTGTCTGGAACGGTGGCTTTACACCACTGGGGCCTGGCTCTCTACTATGTGTACGATGTGAGTGCCACCATTTTTCTGCGGCCAGTGTTACAATGCTCAACGTGCCGTTCCCCATGCCCTATGCCCCATACCCCCCCATGCCCCATGCCCCATGCCCCATGCCCCATGCCCCATGCTCCATGCTCCATGCTCCATGCTCCATGCTCCATGCTTCATGCTCCATGCTCCATGCTCCATGCTCCATGCTCCATGCCCCATGCTCCATGCTCCATGCTCCATGCATCCATTGTGTGTTGTAGGCATCATACTAATCTTTCCAACTTAAGTTTTCTCCCTCTCTGCCCCTGTGTTGTTTCTATTTGGGTGCTTGCAGTGGTGCTACTGGGATGTAAAGGACGGTTTCGTTTCCTTCCCCGTATTCCTCAACCTGGCGGAAAGAGCAGCAGTGCACATGTGTGCAGCCATCACCAATCTGGAAAACCTCGTCATCCCCACCTCCCTCGCGTCCCTCCACCTGGAAGGCCAACACTACTCCAACCTCTGCACACACATGTTCAAATGGCCGTTCAACCAAAACCCGTACACGGTGGCTCAAATCCACGACTCGATTCTCCACCCGCTCCTCCACATCCTCATCCGTTTCCTTGTCTTCGAGCCAGACACTCTTATCTGGTGGTTGAACAAGAGCGGTGTTTCGCCAACCGAGCACGGTTCAGTCTTCCTCCGCCTCCTCATCCTCGTCGCATTCGCTGTCTCCAATGTCGACTGTGACCATGAACAGAAACTATTCTGCTACCTTATCACAAACCTCCTGAAGCTCATCTCTCCAATAGGCCGGCTGCCCCACCGGCTTGTCTCCACGCTTCCCCCGCAACTGCAACGGGATCTCAAGAACATGTTCAGGATGGACCGTGAACCTCCCTCCCCCTACGGCTTCTACACCATGCTGGCCCGTCACATGGGCACCACGCATGACCCCTGGGTGGTGCTCCGACGCAGGGAGGCTCGGATCATCCCGGATACAGAATGGAAAGCCAACCTGATGCATGTGGATGTTGAGTTTACACCTGAGGCTGCTGGAGGTGCCGCTGCTGCTGTGCGTGAAAACGAAGAACAGCAATGTGTCCCTGTGTTTTCGCTGCAGAAGCTGACAGGGTACCGGGTTCCAATGCTGGGTGGTGACAGTGGGGGGGATGCTGCTGCTGGTGATGATGGTGCGATTCTGGAAGATGGCACTGCTGGTGTTGATTCAAAGGAAGACGGGTTTGGAGAGGAGTCAAAGGAAGAGGATGTGGCAGCGACTGCAGCGGCAGCGGCTCAAGAGGGAGAGAATCTGGAGCATGGGAAGGAGTGGGGTGGTGATGGGGAGGGGAAGGCGGGCACAAGTGGTGGTGCTGGTGGCATTGCGGAGGGTGCAGAAGCTGGGGATGGTCTGGGGAAGAAGGGCGAAGAGGACGGTGTTGAGATGAGCGAGGGCGCGAAGGAGGTGGTGAAGGAGCTTAAGAATGCGCAACTGCAGAACGACGAGAGGGAGGAGGTGGATGGTGTGAAGATAGCTCTGAGGATCACACAGCAGCTGCGAAGCTGCGTGCAGCAGGTGTGATGAGCTTCAGGTTCAGGCTATGTGGGCTGCATGCTGCTCGCACTCTCTTCTATCCTGTGCCCTGATGGTGCAGTTCTCTCACTGGGTCTGGATGCAGATGACGAAAGAGCTGCTGCCATGAACAGGCCATGGCTGTAACATCAGGCTATGCTACTTCATCTCCTCTACATCATTTCCTCAACTGCCACTTTCTTCCCCCCACTGACTTTAATTCCGCTCGCAGGCACGTGAGCGGCTGCAGCAGGAGCTGTCGCCGCTCCAGCAGTGCAGCAGGGAGGCACGGAGGGCGCTGACAGCCAGGCTTGAGTCCGTCAGTGCAATTGAGCGGGCCTTCTATCTCAAGGAGTATGAGGAGCATGCGTGCCCTGTCAAGGTATGTATTTCTCACTGCTTTCCAGGATTAGTTCTTCTTTCTTTTTTGCTTTCTCCACATGGAATAAGTCGACTCTTTTGCAAGCTGAAGGTTCTTCCACATGCCCTTGTGTTTCTTGTTGACCATGTGCTGTCGTTGTATCTTACTGAAGAAAGCAGGGTACTGCTCATGTTCTGTACACCCAGCAGCTCAACAGCCGTTGCTGGCTTTCCTCCTCCTAGATCCCCAGATTTTTTGTCCTGCGTTGTCGCCGCCTTGATCGCACACCATGCTGTCTACTCACTGCCATTGATTCTGTGTCACGATCACAGGTTGAGGCGGACGCGTTTCTGGCTCTGATTCACGAGGGGGTGCGGCAGCTGAAGCAGCTACTGCAGCAGGAGGGCTCGGGCACAGGGCAGGGCCAGCAGCAGCGGAAAGGGCAGGGGCGAGGATGGTCGGAGGAGGAGGCGGAGAAGAATGAGGAGCTTCTGGAAGAGGCTTTGGATGCAGCAGAGTCGCTTGGAGCAGCTAACAGTGTCGTCCACCACTCGTATGTTTGCATTCTCATCCTTTCCCCATCGTCATCCTCGTCCTCATCCTTCCCCTATGCTGTCCTGCATCATCCTCTCTTACTCATCTTGTTGATTCACCTCCACCACACCCCAATACATCCTGTTTTTACCGCGCCCAACCCCACACCTTCCTCCCACAGGCATTCCGGCCATGCCTCTGCCTCTGTGCATTGGCTTCACAGCTCTGCCATATCCCCTCTTGCCGACCTCCTCTCCCATCATAAGCCCCTCGAGCAGTCACTCAAGCAGCTGCTGCACCCACCAGAGAAACAAAGGGCAGGTGCACAGGCTGGGCCTGGCAAGGGTGGGAGCGGGACGGTGAAGCAAGAGGGAAGCAGCGGTGGTGTGCAGGAGCCTGGAGGAGGAAAAGGGAAGGGGAAGAAGGGAGCGGGTCGCAGTGGAGGGAAGGATGGTGGGGGTGGTGGCAAGGGAGGGAAGAAGCAGCGAGGAGGCAAGTCAAAGAGGTGATCTTCATGAACCGTTTCAGAGATCGTTGATGTTCAGAGGTGCAGAGCAAGTGTGCAGGCAAATTGTGAATGTGAAACTGTTTGAGACAGCATGACAATACAAAATGGTATGGTAGATGTTTACTTCAACCACTAGACGTTGGAATAGCCTGCGCCTTAGGCAAGTTGGGTGTTTCTTATCCAGCAGATGTGCATTTGCGAATACAAGTTTGTGAGGTCAAGCTTTCTGCATGTCAGCTACAGTGCAGTCTATAACAGATTACATCACATGTAAGGGTACATTCCTGCCTTGACACAAATGTCTCAATCGCTTTGTGACACCCAAAAACAGCATAAACTGTAGTGTGTCCCAATTGCGAGTCGGATTTCAGCGACTGCTACTGTATTTTTCATTGGTCAGCGTGAAACGCGCTGACGTCGCTGACGAATTGTAAACCGACGCAACATTCATACAAAGTTGCATGCGGTTCGAAATGTCAATGCATCTGGACGCCTGCACAGCGAAATTCGCGGGGAAAAAAATCCCACGCATCACAAACAAAATGCCGGCCAAACGATTGAAGAAACCGGTGTACAGCCATTCGTTTCACCCAATCAAATGCGCAGATTTGTGCATTTCGCCTGGTCGCCTAGTGTCGTGATACATTCATCTTTTTGTTGCAGTGAACTGTGGCTGCTGCTCGCGTGGCACCAGGATGGCGGGAAATTTTTCACGTGGCGAAATTTTTCGCCGCAATTTCCCCGTCAGCCAAAATCCGAATATGCAAAAGGCATCTTGCAAAAATGCCGACTCGCCACCACACCTTTCCTATCTCCAGACAGCAAAACCTACCAATCAAAACCTATCAATCCTCCACCTCAACTCTCCTCCTATCCTCATCATCTTTCTCATCCCATCATCCACCAATCAAACAAAAGATTCCATACCAAGCCTTCCAATCCAAGCCACATTCATTCCACTCACCAAGCCTTAAAATCAAAGCCAAATACATCCCATTCACCAAGCCTTACCTTCAAGGCTACATTCATTCTCTTCACCAAGCCTTCACTTCAAAGCCACATTCATCACCCCCATCTTATCCAACTCAACCAATCACAACCATTCATCCTTTCCTCATCCTTCATCCAACATCAAGCTCCACCAAATACAAAAAGGTCCTCTTCACTTCTTCAAAAACATATTCTTCAATGCTACTTCATACCCAAACTCTCAACAAGTTTCTTCAAGCTCCCTCAAGGCCAACATCAAGTCCTCTCCCTTATGCTCTAGCTCCTAAGGCTCCATCACCACCACCAACCTCTCCCAACCCAAGCTCATAGCCAAATGCTCCAATTCTAGAGAAGTTAGTGCCACATAGTTTTACTTCTAGATCATTAAGGATAGTTGATCTCAAGATCCTACCATGTACCTCCTTTTGATTAATGTACTTTAAAGCTTCAAGCAAGATTGGTGTATTCTTCTACCCAAGGTCCAAGCTCCAACCTCAACATCCAAGCTTGGAGGCTTCTCTTCATTCAACAAACATTATCTACAAGTCAACATTCAAGATCAAGTTCTCAACATTCAAGCTTTGAGGTTCTTCATTGACAACTAAGACAACATTTAAGCTTGAAGTGAAGATCAACTTCTACAACATAATAGTAAGAACTCATTTCAAGTAAGTGGTTATCTCTTCCTCTCATTTTTCACCAAGTTTCCTTTACATCAAAGTTCATTTGCTATTATCAAGTTGTTTTATATTCAAGCTCTTTCCATAATAATCAAGTTCTTATTTTCAAGTTCGTTACAAGCTCCCTTCAAGTATCTTTCAAGCCCTTTATCTTTTCTTCAATACTTTCTTTTAAGCCAATCTCGTTTGGTCCTTTTATCCTTATCAAGTCTATCTATCTTCTCCTTCAAAGCTTTCTTCATTCTTAATTAGTCCATACTTCAAGATTTCCTTTCAAACTTGTTTTTGCTTTTCAACTTGGTTTTACTTTGATCTTACCTTTTCTTTCTAGGTGCTTTCTTTCTTTCTCCCTACCATTTACCCTCCCTCGTCTATCACTTCAATTTCAAGACTTTTGTGACGCGAGATTGACAAAATGTTTCGACGCGACTCGGGAAAACGGGGATTGAGACACAAGTGTCAAGGCAGGAATGCACCCTAAGCACTAGTGCTTACATCTGGAGTACCACCACTGTCTACTATCTTAAAGCCCGCATGCAAAATAGTGACCAGGGCTAATTTTATCAAGGTAAATCACCCTGATACCCTGATAATCAGGGTGGTTTTTAGCTGTCACACTGATGCCTTAGGGTAATTTTTTCGGGAGCTTGTATTTTCCTGATAGGCCAGGGTTTACGTTTGAGGTACACTGACGGCCCAGGGTTACCGATCTTTGTAACGAGTTTTACCCTGAATCGAGTACATACCCTCCCCGAGCCGCCCCACCCCCCGTCCCCTCTCTACCCACCCCCCCTTTCCCGTATCGAGGTTCTCGCATGCCAACTGTCGAAACTGAAATTTGGCAAAGGCAACATCTCTGAGCTGGCACGAGGGGGGCCTCCATTGGCCAGAAATACATTTTCGTTATTGCCTGCCAACGATAACATCAATACACCAGGGTTTGCAAAACTGGTACACTGATCCTACAGGGTATAATTTTCAAAAACTAGGAAAACCCTGGTGGATCAGGGTTTGAACAAGGTGTCACACTGATAATCAGGTTTTTGGACTTGTGCAACACTGATCACAAGGGTTGCTGGAAACCAAAAATTAGCCCTGATAGTGACCCCCGTCCCAACTTGAAAGTGGTGTTACGACAATATTTTTTTAAGCGAAGAGAGAATGAAACAAGTCTGACAAAACACTGCTTGAAACAAAACGTGCGGGCAGAGTGAGCTCATGTGCTTGGCTCTCGCCAAAATAGGATGTTGTCGCTCCCGCCAGAATGGACTTTCCCGCTCACATTTCAACGACCTATGTCAGAATCCCAACCACTAGACCATTGGGATAAAAGGGCTTGTTTCAGTAGCGGGTCAGTGCGCCCATAACCCCCCAGGCGAACGCGCCTGTAACCCTCTCCAGGATCAATCGGGCATCCACAGTGCAGATCTACTGACACCCCCCCACACTGGGAGGCCCAGGACTAAGCACAGCGGCAACGGCCTACATGTGCATACACCGGGAATCGAACCCGAGACCGCTCTGATACCATCTCAGAATCCCAACCACTAGACCATTGGGATAAAAGGGCATGTTTCAGTAGCGGGTCAGTGCGCCCATAACCCCCCAGGCGAACGCGCCTGTAACCCTCTCCAGGATCAATCGGGCATCCACAGTGCAGATCTACTGACAACCTGCACTTGCACGACCGTTCCCTGGCGATGGTTTCCATCGTCCTTGCGATGTGTTCCATCGCAAGGCCAACTTCAATATCAAGCTGGTCCTGGGTTCATAACTCCCTGATTTCTACTCCCTTACTCCCTAGTCTTTTTCCACAGGCATAGTATAGCGGAAAGCATATGTGCTTGTGTCATAGGCACGGAATTATCGACGACTGCGTTTATTCGCATGAATGGGTGATTTAGTATTACGTAGCCTAGTAGCGCAATGCTATTTTTCCCGCCAGTAGCACAATCGTCAACCTCCGCATCGCCGTCAGCCCATGTCGCCTTTCCCTCGCCATTACCTTCGCCCCCCCTTTACCCGTCGCACTTCGCGTACCCTCCCCGTTTCCCCTCCCATCACCCACTTCGTTACATTCTCGCTCACTGTGAAACGCCCTCTCGTCGCCCTTCCTTTCTCCCCTCCCGTCACCCACCTTGTCGCCTATGCGCTCGCCTCGAAATCGAGGCGCACTCTCGTCGCCTCCCACGTCTCCCCTCCTATTACCCACATCATCGTCGTCGCCCTAAGCCCGCAATGCCCTCTTGTTGCGCGCAGTCGACTCTCCTCGCCCATCGCCCTGCCGCTGGCCTTGAAACGCCCTCGTGGCTCCCTTCTTCACTCCCCTCCCATTATCCACTTCGTCGCCTTTGCGCTCGCTCTGAGCCGCCCTCCCGTTGCCTATCATCTCTCCACTCCCATCCCGTCGCCCTCGTGTTCCCCTCTCATCTCGCCCTCGAACCGGGCTCTTGTCCAGTAGCCCTCATTGTTTCTGTCGCCCTCTCTCTCCTCTTCCCTCACATTGTTTCTCTATGTTTTTTCCCTCCTTTTGGTTTTCTCAGCGATTTTGCCGCCCTCTCTCAGGCCCAAAGTCTTCATACGCAGCAAATAATCCTAACCTCTCTCGCTCTTTGCAGAACCTTCACAAGCTGCCACCGCGCTTGTGCTTGTCACCTTCCCCCACCATCGCGCTCACGTTCTCCCCTTCCCCCGCCATCGCGCTCACGTTCTCCCCTTCCCCCGCCATCGCGCTCACGTTCTCCCCTTCCCCCGCCATCGCGCTCACGTTCTCCCCTTCCCCCGCCATCGCGCTCACGTTCTCCTCTTCCCCCGCCATCGCGCTCACGTTCTCCCCTTCCCCCGCCATCGCGCTCACGTTCTCCCCTTCCCCCGCCATCAGGCTCACGTTCTCCCCTTCCCCCGCCATCGCGCTCACGTTCTCCCCTTCCCCCGCCATCGCGCTTGTTACGAATAGTAACATTCGATATTACTAAGCACTCCTCACCGTAGCAAGGTACGCACAATATCGGGAACGAACGCAAGCGTCAGACGGTTGGAATTGAGTCAAAGGGTCGGACGGTTACAGCACATCTGAACCGTCGGAAACAAACGGCATCGGACAACTACAGGCAGGATGGTTTTGGCAGGAACAGTTACGAAACTGTACGCGCCGAACGGTTGGGATGCATTTGAATAAGGGAATGTACCCCTTAGAGTACATGGCTAGTTAGGTCGTTTCGAATTCCCTCGTACTCATATTTATATCGCTGTATTTGCATGTTTTTATCATCTCAAGCATCTTACATTCACTCTGCTATTGGGATCAAGGGCCCACCAACACTACCCACTGCGTGCGAACCTACCAGAGTAGATCCTGGGTTACGATCAACTTCTGATCGCAGCATGGTATGAGAGCGACTCTGGAATCCTTCGCACCGTCACTACCGAAAATTACGACATCTGAAAAGTGGCGACCGTCACACGATCACGCACGAGGATGGCCGGAGGATCTGGTGGTCAGACTAATCTGACGGCTGAAGCACAACCCAACCCAGCTGGGCCAAGCGGGAACACGACGACAATCGACTCCGAAGTTCTCGCACAACTTCTTCAGCGACTCACCAGCTTGGAGCAAGGACTCCAGACATTGCGGAATGGCGATGCGGGAACTTCCTCGCAACCCTCTCAACCGGCCCCGACTGGCCAAAACACCGCCCCGCAAACATTCTCCCTCGACACCAATGGCTCAGCTCCCAAGACTCCCCGTCCCAGTGAAGAGGCAATTCTCTCCGCTCAATCAAGGTTTCTCAGCATATCAAAAATAGAGACTAGTACCTGTTTTGACGGCAGAGACTTCTATACCTGGAGCTTCGAATTGGAGATTTTGCTGCAGAACGCCCAAATCTTCCATTACTTCGACGGGAGCTACGCGGAGCCTGCTGAGGACACCGACGACGCCAAAACGAGGTACTACAACGAATCGTTGATGGCGTACGGAGTGCTCCTGCGGAATATGTCGGCGGCGGAGCAGCTCAACATTCGTTCGTACAAAACGACAGCTGCTCCAGCCCTCAACGCCTGGCGACATCTGACGGGCGTGTATCAGCCCAAGGACTCCGTGTCCTCGAGCCGACTACTCCAGGAACTACTGGAAACCAAGATGACCTCAGGGGAGAAGGTCAACAACTACCTTAACCGCTGTCGGAGCCTTTGCGATTAAATCGTGAAGTTGGGAAGCACGATATCGGAAGAAATCTTCGTCAACATCGTGCTCCAAGGGCTCGGCCCAGAGTGGCGGCCCTGCAAGGCGCTTCTCCGACAGCAGGGGGTCATCTCGGAGGCCGCCCTTTGCGCCGCCCTTCTCGTCGAACAAAGGGATATGGACCAACAGCGACCAGCTCCACGACGAGAACGTGAACGACTCGCCTTCTACGCCGACAACAACGAAGAGCGACGGCCGAGGCGCCTCTACTGCAAAAGTTGCAGAAATTTCGGGCACCTGGCGGATCGATGCAAATTCCGATCTCGCCCTCGCCAGTCCAACCCGAGCACTTGGACCGGCCGACAAGACGCACGAGGCGACGTGCGTTCAGCCCAGGGACAACAACTCCCACCTGTGCGCAACCTGAACCCAGCAGTTCAGCACCAGCAGCAGCAGTCGTCATCGACTGCCCCAGTTCGCAATGTCATGAGCAACATGACCTTGACAAGCGAGTCGCGTCGTCGCTGCATACACTCACCTTCACCTGAGCCAGCACCACACCCTATTGGCGCATATACCAACAACAACCCTTTCAGCTCGCGCCGCGACTACACCGACGACGACGACCAGGACTGGAATCTCCTAGTCCCGCTGCTCGAAAGTCCCCCGCACGTCCCTGATATGCGGGTGGCGCCACTTGATTGGCTCACGCGCGAACAATTTCTCAAGTTTGACACCCCGCACATCGTCACGCCGCGACTGGCGCTGCTCGCACGTGACGACAACAAGCGCTACAACACCTGGTACCTGGACAGCTGCTGCGGCCAGCATATGGTGGGCTCCGAGCGTTACATATCCAACGCCACCCCCACCCCTACCGTCACCTACGTCACTGTGGCGAACAATACACGCCTGCGTGCAAGCGCGCAAGGCATCGTCGTGCTCAAGGCACGCGGAAGCCGCACCCACATCACACTCAACGATGTGTTGATCGTCCAGAACCTGCGCTTCAACCTTCTGTCCGCCGCACAGCTCATGGACTGCGGTGTCGACCTCAGCACGGACCACGCGACGCGTGATATCCTGCTGCACTACGAAGCACGCAACTTCCCCCGCAGGCAGATCGGACGAGCGCGCTCCGAAAATGGAGTATACGTCTTAGATTTTGACATCCCCGACTGCAGCGGCGACTCGCACGAACTAATCGACCTCGTGCCACTGCGCTTCGAGCACATCCACCGCAGGGACTGGAAGCACCCTGACGGCAGACCGTGGGTTCCGCACCATCCCCACCCACGCGAAACGGCACTTCACAATCCCGATCCGGACGGAATATGCAGGGATTGTCACACACCGACGACTTCAACGAACGCGATCGCCGGCCGGGGACTCGCCGCCATCGCTGAAGCAGAGCGCCACATGCCCCCAAGGGAAGGGATGTCGCAGCTCGAGCTCAAAGTCACCACCAACGGCGTCTTCGGCATGCCAGAACATCCCCTCATCGGTCCCCCCTCGCAACACCTTCAGGGGATGCTGCGCGGAACTGGCGTCGGCACCTTCGATGCCCGTGGTGAGCCGCGACCCTACACCTACGAGAAATTCCTGGAGACCTACCCTCATCAACACGATTCGACGAAGAAGCTCACCGTGGAACAAGAGGAAAATTTGGCGCGCCGCGAAGCTGAGGAGCTTCGCCAGCAAAGCCTCTCAGAGGCACGCGGGACCTTCGCTTGTGCTGCCTGGGGAGGTGAAGCGGCAGAAAATGACTCCACCGAAGGAGGATGGGGAAGCGCTGGCGGATGGGGAACAAGCGACGCTAGCGGCTGGGGAGACAGCGGCGGCACCTGGGCCAACGTGGGCGGCGGATGGGGCGCCGCAACTGGCGCCGACAACAGCACCTGGGGCACTCTCCGCGAAGAACGAAGGGGGGGAGAAGATGAAGTTGAGGAAAGTCAGGCAACACCCGCAATCGTTCCTCTCGGTCGTCCCCCGCGCCACGTTCCACTCGCACTACCCCCTCCTGACAACCCCCCGCGCCGCGATCCATGGGACACTATCACCTGGGGCAACGAACCGTCAACACCACGTCGCACCGCCTACGGACCTGCCCCTGAACACCGTGAACCCACTTTCGTCCCTGGAACCATCCCTGGGACTAACATCCCACTCTCCGAAATTCGGGACAGAGAATTCTTGGCACTGATGCTGACCACCGCGGTAGAAGAAGAAGAAGCAGAGGAAGCAGCAACGGAACCAACCCCCGCACCTGACGAAGACCCTGAGGAAGCACGCACACGCTACATGCGCACTTCCGGCTTTCGCGGTGACGACGCACTCTGGCACCAGCGACTCGGCCACCCTTCCCGCGCAACGCTGAAAAACTGCATCGACGCAGGCGTCTTCGCTCCGGGCGCACTTCTGCGCCCCGATGGTTCCGAAGTAAGCGGCGCGACACATCCGCGTAACTGCACCGTCTGCCCTGAAGCTGCGCTGAGCCACCAACCGTTCCCGCTACTCGAACCTGGAACGAATCGTTACCCCAAGCTGCACAAGGTGTACAGCGATTTCCTGAACGTGGGGCATTGCGGAGTCGAAGACGGAATGTACACACTTACCTTCATCGATGCCGGCACGCGCTACGTGTGGGTCGTGAATGTGGAGACGCGCGACAGAGCATATGAAGTATTTCGGCTTTGGCTGGCACATGCGGAGAGGCAATCCGGGAAGAAACTCAAGATCTGGCAATCTGACGGCGTGGCAGAATTCAGGAGCAACCAGATGCAGACCTTCCTGACACAGAAGGGGATCGAGCACCACATCTCTCTCCCCTACGCGCACCAACAGCAGGGCGTAGCCGAACGGACCAATCGCACACTGATGACGAAGGTGCGCGCGCTGATGAAGCAGTCGAAATTGCCGCCGATCTACTGGACCTACGCGATGCACCACGCCGTGCGGGTGCACAACCTGCTTTCAACCACCGCAATCACCGGCAACCTTTCCCCGCACGTAAAATGGAGTGGAACCAAAGGGGACACCTCCATGCTCCGGGTATGGGGGTGCATGGTTCAATACCGCCCGCCGACCTCGACCATCGGCAAGTTCGCCAGCCGCGCACGCTGGGGAATCCACCTCGGCATCAGTCACGAGCACAAGGCGTGGATCGTGCTAGACCTCCTCAGCCAGAAAAACACTCACGCTCGCGACGTCATCTTCTACGACCAGTTCCGCCGCGACGAGCAGACAAATGCGAATCGGGTCTACGCCAACGATGGCCACAGTTACGCAACGCCCGAAGATGAAGCCGCTGCAGCAATCTTGGAGCAGGACACAAGGGGGGATTTCGCATGGGAAAACCGGCGCAGCGACAACGACGACGACGACGATGATTCCTCAGGAAGAGGAACAGGCGGAACAGGTGGAGGCGGAACAGGCGGAAGCGGCAGAGGCCCAACACCGCCAACACCTGAACCGGAGAGTGACGATGATGATGTGCAGGAAGTCATCCCGCAACGTCGCCACGACAGCACCATCTCAGGGCTGCAGCTGCTCGGACTTCACACCGCAACCTCACAGGCACCACGCATCATCGAGCCCCGAAACCCGCGCGAAGCACTTTCTGGACCACACAGCAAGGAATTGCGTGAGGCGATGGACATGGAAATCAAGGCGCTAGAGTCACGCGACACCTGGGTGCTCGTCGACCGCGCAGCGATCAAAGGCGCAAGAATCCTCTCAGGGAAATGGGTCTTCCACGTAAAAACCGCAGCAGATGGGACAATCGAGTGCTTC